CATGCAAGCAGAGATCTCAATTTTAGAAACTACCTTGCAAATTAACATACTCTTGCCTTCATCCCACGAACTAGAAAGTATATTAGTGTACCGACACACAGGATATGTCAGGAGAATGTCAGGATATATCAACAGAATCAATACAGGATCAACACATGTTCAAGAAATATACTTTTCCCTTCTAAAAACCTGCCAGGATAGACTGAGAAAAGTGCAGAAGGCCGTTAACTTCATAGAGCTGGTACTGGTTTCCTGAACACTGAAAAACCCTCGTGAACATGAAAACTGACTGAAGGTGTAAAAGCAACCATCCATGTTCAAGAAATATACTTTTCCCTTCTAAAAACCTGCCAGGATAGACTGAGAAAAGTGCAGAAGGCCGTTAACTTCATAGAGCTGGTACTGGTTTCCTGAACACTGAAAAACCCTCGTGAACATGAAAACTGACTGAAGGTGTAAAAGCAACCATCTTCACCAAGGTATTAAGAAAAACTGAAATCCATATTGAGGCAATATTTTTATCACTCCAAGCTTTTAATTCAAATTTCCATCAGAACAAAAATACAGATGGTAAAAGGAAAAACTATTGGTGTCATCACAATCACATTGAGTCAGGCAGCCTTATAAATCTAGTAAATAAACAAACTTGTAATTCATCATCTACTGGTAGGAATATATTTCTACTTTTGGATCCTCTTGATGTCTAGAAGGAGTGATTGCTTAAAACTGGAACGTGTAGAAATAGTATCTCCTATATATGCTATATGTGTTCTGAAAAACAGATTTGGAGAGGGGAACAGGAAAAGAACTTAAAATAACAGAAATGATGGAATCTCAGAAACAGGACACAAAAGCAATTCAATGGTGAAGCTACCTGAGAAGATAACAGATGATAACTTTATTATGTTGTGAATCTCTTTTTGGAGTTATGAGTATAAACAAGGTTTCCCCAATCTGGTGCTGTCCAGATGTGTTGGAGTACAATTTTAATTTCAGACAGCTTGCCCAGGAATGACAGAAATTGCAGTCTAATAGGAAGATTGACATATGGATTGAAGATTCTGCTTGTTCTGAATGAGAAAATCATAGTACATTTATGGTCAAGTGGATACAGTGTATGCATTATAACCCTACTTATATCATATAAATTCAGAAATATTTTGGCCTGTAGCTCTTCTACTTTTAAGGATTATGCTTTATAATAATATCAGAAGTGCAACTATACCAGGTTCTAAACAATAACAAGGGGACATATATAAGCAAATCTCAAGACAAATAAATTGAATAAAAACCTATTTGCAGCAAAAATAATATTAATTTGAACCCTTGGTATTATATCTGAAAGTCTGTTAGATTACAGTGAAACCATGATTTAATGGATCCCATTTTACTGGACTTTCAGCGCAACATACCAGATTGCATCCCTCCAAATAACAGACAAGTCTTTAACATTCAAAGTAGTCTGCATGATTAATATAAATTTACATCATTTCCAGTAGATGATATAAATTTGGATTTAACACATCTGGATATCACAGATACTCTATCCCCTTCAACTGTCTGTTAAAATCAAAGTTTCTGGCTGAAAAAAGGGAGAAGGTTCTATAGGTCCTGAAGTGACACACATTCTGCTCCTTCTTGTCTTCTGAAATTATATTCACAGAGAGTAGATAACAAAACAGCTACTATTTTTATAAGCTATGTATTTGTATATAGATTTGTGTATTGCATGTGTACTTGAGGAAGAAATACAAATCTTATCCAGTAATATTATCAATTATAAACAAGCTGATACAAAATACTGACAGCGAGGAATGTAGTTTAAAGTTCTACTACAGTAGTCTTCAAGCAAGCTTTAGTTCCCCAGCAAAGCTGTATATGCTGCTTAGCATGTCTTAGTCAATCTACTGCTAGCATATGATCTTCCTCTAGCAGTATATAAATCTAGGCTCTTTTTAGGCATTAATTCAATTTAAGCAGTGATGCATCTAAAATTGGACTAAAACTTCTAGACTACAAAGAGACTATGTAACTTTGTTATTATAGCACTTTGACCAATGCAAGGATCCACAGAAGGCCAGTTGGATGAACAAGAGCTGTTGCATATCTAATAGAGAATAATTCTTAGATTTACAATAACAGTTCCCAATTTGGGAAGGGTATCTTCTAAGAGTTATCATTAGAATCACATGGAAAACAATCAATCAAACCTTTGTATTTTACACAGACCATTATTACAAGGTTGTCTTCTATTTCTCTTAGGAATTTGCCATTTTCCATGAACTGTTAGGTCATTTGTCTTATTCAATGACTATGTTCATACAGTACACCAAGCCATGACTTGTTTTAAACAGGATTTGTTGAACAAGCTAGATCTGTTCATCAAGTCATCTGATTTATTTGATTTACACATGTTAAGCCATAAATAATGGTTTATGATTTGTGACATGCTAAAACAAACATTATGGTCATAATGTATGAACTAATGTATTATTCTCTCCCCTTCTCCCTCCTCAAATCTCAGGATTCCTGGAGATGATGAGTTTTGCCAAGGCTATAAACACTTAAGGGCAACTTACATCCTTTGCAGGTACTAGCTACCACTGATGGAGAAGGCAGCGAAGAGCAAGAATCATCCCCACCTGCCTTCCTCGCCAATATAGACAAACAATTGATTCAGATTTTGGAAATAATAAGTATTACCCCAACATGGAGAAACCAAGAAAACCAACACTATGCTACAACAGTGAAAATCAATCTCCAGTTTTAAAGTCAGTACTGAATGCAGGAAAGTAAACCATCCTGTTTCCACATCCTAAAATAGTGAGTGCAGGAATGAATGAGAATCTGTGGATACATTTCTCTGTGTGGGAAAAAGGAAAATGTTTTTAAGAGTACTGGCTGAAGAAATGATTACGCAGCACCCCTCCCCTCATCACCACCCATTTATTCTAGGCAGCTATGAGGGCCAAAGAGATCATCCATTCCTCAAAATGAAGTTGAATGCCAGCAGTCACAACCTGTCACCCTTAGAAACAGCACTCCTCTGGGTTTTTTCCCCCCAAATACAGAAATCTGCCAACTCTTCTTCCAGGTTCCCACACCCCTGGATGTGCTAATAGTCTGTTTGCGCCACAACTGTTTGCTTTTATCTGATTAATAACAAATTAAATTTTGAAAGACAACAGGTTGCTTAATCCAAGATGGCTGGCCTAAATCCAAGCATTACAGTGTCCTCCCAGGAGCTGGGGTACCTTCTGGGCAAAGGGGCGGGTTTCCTTATAATATGCTGGGGAAAACACACAAACACCAAATCAAGAACTTGAAGGGCCTCTTTGAAAATAGGGCTGGCTTTGGAGATCCCTTAATGGAGCATTCCAGGGGGATTCTTTTGAAGCCCCAGAAGATGGGCTATTAAAGGCAGCCAGCCCCACTTGAAGGGTACATAATAAAAGGAAGCGATAAGGAAGGCCGGAAGGCCACACAGGAAGGTTAACAGAATGGGAGACTTTTGAAGAGCTCTGTCCTGCAGGGCACAAATGTTCAGTCCCATAAGGCCTTGATTTCAGGGAGGAAGTATGATCCTCTTTGTCAAGAGGAAGAAGTGGTAAATGACTTTTTTTGAAGTTAGCAAGAAGCTTTATGTAACAGAATATTGATGGGGAAAGTTACATAGTCTCCCATCTCCTCTTTTTCCACTTAAGTCAACCCCCTTGATCAATGGAAAGAGGAAATACCCAAACCTTCTCTTCCAACCATCAGTTAACAACAACATTGAGGTATCTTCTCCAAGACATTTCCCCAACTGTTAAGTCCAATTTTATCAACATCAGTTAGCCAAGCACCAGTAATGAGCTGGCTAGGCGCACTACTTTCATGTCTGAATGTATTTTTGATTTAAGTTTTCTAGTATTTGCAAATCGAGCAACTCACTAAATCAAGACTTGGTGCTGGAGCTGCCTAATCAGAGCTTTCAATGAAGAAACAAAAACGTTCAAAATCAGTAGCAGCAGCTTACTGAAATCAGACACACGTATTTTGGGCACGAGTGTGGGACCCCCCAAAAGAGCCAAAGCCATTGCTCAAGAAATGTAAGCCAAAAACTATTCATAGGTTTTACAATGCTTGCAAATAAATACATGAATAAAGTAAATCCGTCCAACTGAAATACTAGTCAAACCTACCAATCTTTCAACACCTGAAAAGCTATAGCTCAGATTATACCAATTTTCTTTAAAAGAAAACGAAAGCTCTGGCATCTTCCCCTTTAAAAGAGCGGAAGGGGGTGTTTCTAGAAAGCCCAATGCACCTGCTATTTGCACACACACAAAAATTTTTTTCCAGATCTGCATGTCTATTGGAAGAAACATACTGAAAAAAATTAATAAGCGGACGAAAGTAATGTCGCGCGATTTGAAAATGAACACAGCCCCGGCGTGCATGTATTTGTAAGAGAAAGAGAAGGGGGGCAGGGAAACCCGAAACACCAGCCGCCGGAGCCCCAACGTTATTGGAGTATCGCAGATAGGAGCAAGTTGCAATAAGCAGAGCAATTCTAACCTCTACCTCCTCTCTTCCGGCGTTAAAAAAAAAGAAAAAGAAAAAAGGGAGGCATGAAGAGGAATTCTAACCACTGGACCCGTGACCTGCTGTAAAAATATGTCCATCAATTTTCCCACCCTGAAGAAAACCCGGATCAAGTGCATTAGAATTTAACATTAAAGGCGAAGTGCTTGAGAAAAATCCTACCTACCCTAGCTACAAATTACAAGGCCACTCTGCCTTTCCCAGTCCAGTGAGCTTTGCCAAGACACCCCCCCCAGCACACACAACCCTTCTCTACTTGCGTGCACGCTGAGAATAAAAGGCAGGAGAGTATTTTATTCCGCATGCCTTACTTGCTTCCTATTGTAAATTCCGAGCACAGATATATTTTTTTGCAAACTGAAAATGACTTTGCAAAATCTGTTTCTAAATTCTGCAAACGTTAAATAAAATTAACGCAAACTTTTTTTTTTAGAAATCACAAACTTACAATTACTCTTATTCGCGAATCTGTATACGTTTTTCCTTGTGTGTTGTGGTGAAATGAAAATAATCCCCCCTTCTGGTTGCTGATGGTTGCAATTGCAGATCTGAAGCAGAAGGCAGAGAGACTTGCAGTGGAAAAAAAGAGAGAGAAAGAGCGTACAAGCACACAGGCCCCCTCTTATTTATATAAATTTAAAAAAATGTTCCAAGAGGAAGGAAGCTGGGTCAAAATCATTTGCAGAATTAAAAAAGTAGGAGAAAAAAAGCCTCCTCTAAATCTTACTGGAGAGAATCCAGAAGCTAAAAATAGCAAAATCACACTCCAAATTAAATAAGGGCAGGCTGACTGGCTAAGGGGAGCTTAGCCCTTCCAGTGGAAGAGAGAAAGAGGGGGAGGGAGGGTAAAGGGGAAGGAGGCGGAGCCATTCAGCGTCTGCATCATCACCTGTGGGTGGAGGAAATATAAAAGAAAGCAGCAAGGGTGATTTTAAAAGGCTGCTTGAGGGCTCGCGGAAAAAAAAAGCGGCGGCTGCGCCGAACTGCGAAGAACAAAAGGAAAACAACGGCAGGAGCGCTACCGCCGCTGCTGTCTCTCCTCGCGCCAAAAGATGGGGAAGAAATGGGAGGGAGCTCTTTGCAAAACTTTAAAAAACAGGATCACTCCCGGCTTGCTTTGTTTCTTCGTTTAAGGAAGGTGGGGGGGGGACCTAAGTTTCCTGATTTGAGAAGCTCATGACCCTAATAGGGCTGAAGCTGATTAGTGTTAGTTTTTGGAGTATAATTTGGGGTCGGCCCAAATCTAGCTGAGACTGCCACACGATGTATGTATATTATTGGCTATTGGTGTGTAAAGGTTTATTTAGGGATCAAAAGTCCTGGGTCCCTTCTTTGTAAATCTGGCCTGGGATTATTGACCATGGAAATATATAACATGGGGTAACTCCACGTTTATTTGGGGATGTTGAGATAACTATAATCTCCCCCCCCCCGGGCTTCTGATGCATCTTTTCTTTTAAATAAGAAATTGAGAGGCAGTAACTACAGTACTCTCTGTAGATCCGAAGAGTGTGTTCACTGCAGGCTCCCAGAGAAGAAAATTACAGACTTCCAAGAGTCTTACCTTTCAGTTTACTGGCTTTAAAAATACTTCCTGCATTTGATTTTCACATTTCTGGGTCCTAAGTCTCCACCTGGTGCCATCATTCTCAGGCATAAGAGGTGCTGTAAGCAGTTACTCAGTTTAATAAAGATCTCTATCCTGCTTACCACACATGTCTGAACCTATTTTGACTTGTAAAGTACCTAAAACCTATCCTTGTGAAGAGATCACCCCTTGTGTGATACATCTGCAAGGAAATAGCATGATTAAACTCTGATGCCTACGAACACCTCCTTTGGTGCCTGCTGTGCTGTTAATAATTTTTTTTTTGGTTTTGGTTTTAATATTTTTTTTTTTAATGAGAAGCTGGCCCACTGTAGAGCAAAACACTATTCTGACGTTTTATTTCCAGGAATAACTTTAGACCTTTATAAGCTTTCTTAGAAGATAAAATGATGGATGGCTAACTGCACCCCAGGGTGTTGGTAGGGAGTGTAGTGGGGAGCAATAAGGCTACTGTTTGTTGAATGAATGTTTTGTAATGGACTGGCCCTGATGTCAGCCATTTTGAGAGAGCACTACCACAGGCTTGGAAAATTCCAAGTGCGCCCACCAGCCCCTGCTCTGTAGTATTGTATAAAGTGCATGCTTCTTTGTCATTATGAAATGGGCAATAAGAACCCTTAATTTTGCCTGGATCATGCTTTCCTTGGGGGTTCCTTTATCAAGGTTTTATATTCCATTTTTCCAATAAAAATAAAGCTTATGTTTTATCAAGCCTGCCTTCTTCATACATACAGGACTTGAAGAGAGTGTAGGTCAATTTAAGAATACCGACACACGGGAGAAAGAATTATATTCTTATTGCTCCTTTACATGATCATAAATGAAACCCTTGATGACATATGTGTTTTCATAATTTATACCTGCAGACAAACGTTATATACTGGAAACTGCATTAAATACAGTGAAGGTAATTCACAAGTATAGGGGCCACCCTAACCCTTCAGGTTTTATGAAGATATCGGGGAAAAAAGGAAAGCAAGAACTTTCTTGATCCGCTAAAGAGAGGACAAGAACTGGGAATTTAAATCAGATTTTTTCCCTTGGTTTTCTTACAAATAAAAGGCAACCATTTTATTAGGAGTACATACATGTTTTGTTTTCATGCTAGAGGCTACACTTAGCTTTTGAATGCTAAATACTCCAGAAATGTGCATGGGCCTGAGTACTTAGGTTTTAAATGATAGTTAACAGGATTATCACTCCATATATATTTCATTACTTTCGTATTCTGTAATATTCAGATGTACAGGTCAACTGAACCCTTTGGACTAACCTGAAGCCCCATCAAAGGCTTTCAGGGACTCCATACATACCAATAAAAGTAAGCTTCATTGAGGAACAACTGTACTTCTTTACTTTTTCCTCTTTTTCTATTATGATAGAATTTTCTTTAGGATAAATGTCTAAACTGAATTTATTGGCAGAATAAAGTATACAGGATGGAAGATTTGAATCAAATAGAGTCAAACACCCCTATAAATGCAAAATAAGAAAGTGGTGATTGAAGCTAATCTTTCCTATTTTTGGAGGAAAAAAAAACCTTTAGAGATTCATTTTGGAGGAGATATATATATATGAAATATATAGGGTGTGTATGTGTGTCTGTATGTGCCTTAAAGAAGGACTGGCATTTTCCCCTTCCAATTCTAATCTCAAGCATAGTAGGAAGTGAATTCCATTTAACCCAGTGGAATTAATTTTGAGTAAACATGACGAACTGGCTTGTGATTTAATGCATGCAGCCTGATGGTATAAATGTGTAATTGAAAACAAATCCTCCAGTATTAAAATAGTAGTTATTCTATTTAATAAAGAAGGTAGACTTTGCAGATATAAGAGTATATCTGCAAAGTCTACCTTCTTTATTAAAATGACTGATATTAATAGGATTGCTTTTGAGTAAATGTGGACTAAGTTACTGTTTTTAAGTCACAAGTCTATAGATGTGTAGTCCTGAACAATCTTCATCTAGTTTAATATGTCTAACATGTAAGTAAGTATATTTAAGCATGTATCTTTCATGGTTTGAACACATCAAATATTCATTTATTTGATTATTTGTTTCTTTATTAAATTTATAGGCCCCCATCACATCTTTACATTTATAGGTATTCCATCACATCTCTGGGTGGTATAAAGTACTGAACTAAAACAATAGTATACAAACAATACAAAAAGCAGGCATCTGAAAAAAATAGTGGAATTCTCACAAACCAATTGTCTCCACAAGAAGTCTGTAACCCATTCTAGAACTGGAGTATTTTAATGGAATCCACCTATACGTTTGAGTGATTTTATGATCCCACCTCTCCTTCTTTATCTTTTATTTTTTTAGCATCCTGGTAGTTATAGAGGCACTTGTTTCCATGGAAAAGTAACACTGCGAAAGTATTTAAGGCATTATTTTGATTCTTTTAAAGTGTTAGCAGCTGGAGAAAAGTCAGTTCTATATGACCAGTAATTTATACACAGAGCTCTACCCTATGTTGTGCAGAAGGGCTTTTGTAAGCAAATTATATTTTTATACTGTTAACCCAATGGACTTTTAAGAAAAGATTATGTGAAGAGGCTTGGGGCCCTGTCCATCTTCGTCTATCATTGAGCAAGGTTACTTTCTGAACCCTAAACACATTGGAATCACATGTGGTATGGTCAGAGAAGGTGGTGAAAGAAAGACTGAGTTTCAAAATGGGCTGGATCTTTCTGGGTACTGCTGAAAAAAAAAATAATGAAGAAAAATCCCCTAATGCGTTCCCATGGGAAAAGGAGTTGGACAGCGGCTCGGCATGCTGCTGACTGATATATTCTAAACTTCTCTCCCTGCTGATCACATGTCCTAAGGCAGAATATGCAGCTCCAACCAGCCCCCGTGTGTCCCAGTGTACAAGTACAGATACACAGACATGGAATATGAAGGGAGAGCAGAAACCGACACAGATAGGTGCTATTTATTACAGAAGCAACACAGAGGCCTCTTATGCCCACTTCAGGTAAAAAGGGGTTGGGTGGAAAAAGGTCTGTGTGTTTTCCTGACCCTGTTTTTGCCTACTTTACAGGGTGCTTCCATTCAGAGGGCTCAGGACTCTATTTATCAACTATTATATGATTATTCTGTGTTTCCTGCTTCAGCATTTAAAAAAAAAATGGAAGAATTGATGGGTAAAATGTCCTGAAAGTTGCCACCAAGGATGAATTTGCCTTTGATTACATGACTTTTGGAATAATGAGCTTTAATGTCCTGTACTGGTAAAGCCAAAGAGGGTTACAATAAACAATATAAAAATAATTTCTATATGTAAATTAATTTGATTACTAGAACAAAATCAGATTAATACAAAAAGATATATTTTTGTGCATCCTGGGTGCCTCAGAGAAATTTCAGTAAGGGTTGAATATTGCCTTATCCTATCATGTTGCATTTGGGGTTGAAATCAACAGGCTTAGTACAACTCCATCAGTTGTTGGATATTAAAGTCACAAGCTCAGTTACATCCCCAGTATTTGGACACTATCAAAATATTACAAATTGTAGAATTTTCAGGCCTTGGAGTTGATGGAAATAATTATTATATAACACTGCAATGAGAAATGTATGCCTGATGTGCAGCAATGTGTTTTAATATATATAGTCTTTTTTCAACAGAGGACCAAGGGAGACTTTCAAATAATATGGTTAAAGTTTGGGGAGTTTTGTTTATAATTTCTGTTTACAACATATTTTTCTTATGTCCCTTTTTATAATGGCAGCACTTAGCAATGTACTAATAGAAGAGAATATA